TGACTGAGGAGCCTGGAATACTACTACACAGTACTGTAAATTTATTTACCTGACCCCAGAGATAAGTTAATCATTTCACAAAATTTGCATTGGTATTAGTTTTATTAGTTTCTTCCTCAATCTGTGAAATGGATGAACATTCAGACAATGAATCCATACCTGGCACCCTCCCTTGTGGTTGTGTATGATGAAAGTGATGATGGTAATGATGATAAACAGGAGTTGATCGCCCACTGCTGTCCCCTGACCTGACATCTGTGACTTCAGTAGCAGCTGGCTGCTCCCTTGGTCGCACACCCAAGGCATCAAATCCACAAGTCTCTCTGCCAATGGAGTCCTTTGAGGGTTCCAGTGGTGATATTTGCTCAGGCCATGCAGCAGATGTTGATGATGTGGACAAAAAACTGGCTGAAGGCTTGTCACGGCCCTTGTTGGAAGAGATCATAGTCAGTAAATTAAAGCGCAACTACTGGTTTCAACAAGTTAAAAATAACTGAGTTTAGTGCAGACTCAGTGTATATGTTGTGCTGGAAATACACAAATCTGATTGGCTCTCCCACTGTTGTCTATTCACTGATGAAACACCATCTCATGCATTGCATTCAAAGGTTGGTTTCATCCCATTGGACTAGTGATGGACAGAATCCACCAATCTGATTGCAAATTCCACTAGCCCCAGGCTATCGGACACAACTTTCTTGTTACACTGCTGCAGGTTTATTTTTGATTATTTGCTCATAGAAAACTTGGGCTCAAATAGACTATCTGTTAGTATTATAGTTTACATGCATACATGTATCAGTAAAATAGGTCAATGCTAGAATTACAGCATGGCAAACTAACTGATGATTACCTGAATAAAAATCTGTATAACATATATAAATAAGACAAACTTGTAAGTTAGAGCATTTTGCTGGAGATTAAGATGCACAGGTTCAGATAGCCTGCACACATACTCAGCTGAACACCACATATTTCAGTCTTTTGCATGTTGCTTAGAATGTGGCACATCTTATTTCACATGTTGCGTGTACCTTATCCTTTGATGCTGAGGAGTCTGTGAGCTCTGTAGGTGTTAATGTGTACTGTGTCAGCTCATCTTCTATTGAAGTGGCATCACGACTGAGTAAGCTGGATGATCCAGGCTTCCTAGAAAAATATCAAATAACTTATGAAATAAATTGTCAGTGTTAGTAGGTTTGAAGACTAAGTCAAAACTTGTTATGAGGACCCAAAAATTATCATCTTCAATTGGCAGAATCTTTCAACCACGTTATTTTGCAAAACTGTTAGACAAGTATATAATTATAAAATAAATTTTTGTATCATGATACAGTCGAACCTCCAGTTGCAACCACCTCTCCTCAGTGACCAATTTTCTAAAATACCAAAAGTTTCTCAGTCAAATCCCTATATTTGGAACCTCTTGTAAGCAACCACCTCTAGTGAGTGACCGCGACCACTTCTGGAACCAAAAGTTTGAAATTTTCTTTTGTTTTTAATCTCCTGTAAGGGACCACTTGACAGATAATAGAGCATAAATTAGATAATAAGGTGTTGTAACATTATCGTATTCTTGGGTAGTACAAGAGACGGAAATTTCTGAATGGAAAGTACTGCATTTTTTCTCAGAGTTGACTTTTCACTCGAATGGCACATTTAAAACATGGGGTAAGTCTCTGCAGTTACCATATGCTAATGAGGCAAAATTTTGACCCTACATGGTCTAAGCTCTTGTAAGTGACCACCTCCCTTAAGCGACCACCTAAGCTTGACATTTTAGGTAGTCGCTTACAGGAGGTTCAACTGTCATTAATAAGAGGTACCATAGAAGCACAGGGAAGAAACAGTGAAATGGCATGCCTGGCCTTCTTTTCATACCAAAGGTGGAATATCCTTTCCAAGCATTGAACACCAAATCAGATAGGCAAAGAAGACGACCTGGTCATGCAGGCCTTTTAAAAGCAAGGAAGGATCTGGGCACTCAAGCTCTCTGATAAATGGAAGATGGTGAATTTGCAGCTTCACGAATATATGATAAAGAAGAAACAATGCTGCTTGGCGCCCAACTGCTATCTGGATGGTCATGGATTCGAATCCTGTCAAGGACTCAGACTTTTCTCTGTCCCATGTTTGTGGCAGTATTTCTTCTTTATCACTCAAGTTCTCTGTTAGCAATTTATTTTTAAAGAAAAACTCACCATCTGTTCCCCCCCTCCCCTGCCTATATGTGAAAATTTATTTGAAACGATTCAGATTGAGCAGTGACAGCTTAGTGTGAAATAAAAATCTCACCTTGTAGTGTATCCTGCAGGTCCAATCCTGCCAGATTCTGATCTTTGAGAAAGAGCAGTATCACCTAACACTTCTCTTCCAGTACCCTGTACAGATCTTTGACCATCCATAAGGCCACCAGCTGCATCGTCAGTAAAAACCCTACTAGCCTCCTGAGAAGTCCCAGTGATCATTGGAGTAGGAACAGACATGCCAGATGTTGAGTCTGGGAGATGATCGATGGTATCTTTCCTTTCTGGTGACTTTGATGGCACTCTGTCTGAGGTAGTCTCCCCTAGTCTGATCAGCTCAGCTGTTGAGTCTCCAACGACATCTGCTCTTGTGTCACTTAACTAGCGATTCAAGAGATCACAAGTGATAACAATTTTACAGTTACATGTGTGTAGCAAGAGCAGCAAGCCAACCACAGTGTAAATATATGAACTAACATATTTGCTAAGACTACCTAGTAAGTAAACTAAGGTATTTATGTGTGAGCTTCTCAATTCTGTAGTTAAGTATAATATGGCTGACCACTATATGGAATTTGAAACAAAATATTAAGTTAAACATCTTCTTGCTGGATCAAATCTTCTACACTCATTTTGGTTTTCCTGTTTTTCCATTTACACTATGGCTTCTTCTGCTATTAAACAACATCTTGTGTTCAGCGAGACAGGCTTGAAAATGTTCAAAACTCAGTACATAATTTAGACTTTGTCACTAAAAATGTATTTCTTTCACACCTTTGAGGTGTCAGCATCAAAGCCAGTGGAATTTCCAGCATCCCATGTAACAAAATCAGCAGGTGCTGCTCTTTTTCCTTGAGCATTTCTCTTAGGATCTCGAGTTCCTGCTGCACTTGGCAGTTGCGATGTTTCTCTGCCCAGCTGAGCATCATCTCTGAATTTGCTTGGCCTATAAAGTAAAAAAAAATGGTAGTCATGGTTGTACAACTAAGTCTGGTCCAAAACAGAACAACTGGGCAAACCAAGGGGAACTAGAAGTTCATATTAAATGCAGTGTAGCAAGAATTTTCAGTATCTATAGCACATGATGTTAAATGACTGCCTATTTGCATGACTAACACATCAAACATTTTGCACTGACTCAAAATTCAACCCCTGCTTGCACTGGTTTCAAAAATGTAACTCACATAAGATTGTAAAAGATATTTAATGGGTATCATGATTAGTTCACTCAAGCTGATCTTTGCAGATCTCTTCTCCCACTTCTCATGCCCTATTTGGTAAGTATTTATGAGCCTACCCTTAAAGTGAGTATTTAAATCATCACATCGGGGTAGCAATAACAGGTCATTGCTGCTTATAAGGTTGCTTCGGACACCTTAATTATACCACTGTAGACCATTACCTGGCTCCACCATCCTTTTAGGAACCTGCATAATTTTACCTTTTTTACCTGGTATCATACATTGATTTGTTTTTTATCAAAAGAAATGCACCTGCTTGTTTGTGGCCTTGGTCCATAGAGAACATCATAAGAAGGACCAAACTCCTCTCTTAGTACTCCAGAAATGACGTCATGTTCTGATGTCAGTAGATTAGAGTCATCTTCATCAGAACCTATAAACAACAATAACATGTCAAAGGCATGGTACAGTTGAATCTTCCAAATCTTGACATTTCATCTATGTTGATAGTATCCTCACTGGTAAATACAATGTAGATGTTCCCGTATGTATCCCTCAAGACCCTTCACTATCACCTTAGTGAGAGGGTTGTCTAAAAATCTTCAAGCTAATAAATTAATATATACCTATATAATATAGATAGGACCCTGCGTGTGCTCTGATTGGTCGAAAACCCATGCTTTTATTGTTTTTCGCCACATTTCCTCTACAAGCAAATGAAGAAGCCTAAGCCATGTGTTACACTGTGATAAAACACTCAGGGCATTTGAGAACACTTGAGAAACGTAGAAAATACTCGCCCGCAGCTCGTCTTTTCTATATTTCCCTCATGTTCTCAAATGCCCTGAGTGTTTAATCACAGTGTAATACATAGCTTAGGCTTCTTTATTTGTTAAATAACATAGTTACACTACAGAGGTCTACGTAATGTCTCTTATTAGAACTACATGTACTTGTCCTCAAAACTTTTGAGCCAGACGTTAACCATCAGAGGTACTACACAGATCTGTGAGGTGCTACAATGTCGATATGGAATTGTTCAGTTTGAAATGTACTTAGATGTCTCTCTGATTGCGGAAGAGAAATAAGAAGAACATGCAAAAGGCATTATTAAATTTGCTGAGGAACAATAAAACATTGCAAATTTTTTGCAATGTCTCCAGCCAGGACTCGAACCCGGACTGCTTAATCCAGAGTCCAGGGCACTAAACATTAAGCCACTGTGCCTCACACTACCACCAATAAGGAACTATTAATGAAAACAGGTATAATCAAATCAAAACACATGACTACATTAAAAAAAAATAATCAAACACCAGAAGACACTCAGCCATAAAGACTGTTGGCAGAGACTTACAGCAAAGCATAGTGACATGCATGCATACCTTCACCATCGACATATTCCATGAAGTACTCAAGCAAACCAGCAAAAATCTCCAGAAAGTTTCGTATTGAAACCTTGTCACCCTCAACAATGGCCTTCCCAGAAATGTGTGAGAGATCCACATTAAGGACATCAGTAGCTACCAAATTAATCACAGTTTGGCAGTTTCTAATGTGCTGCTCAGCTGAGATGGGGTTCTCTAGAATGCCTGTGTGATCAGTAAGTTGTGATAAGTAAATTGCTACATGTATAATATTTAAGTTTCCTATAAACATATTATTTAATTGATCCCTGTTGTGGTCATGTTGACTAGTTAAAGACTTGTTAACGCTCCCAGAAGCTGATCTCCCAAATTTTGTACAAATCTCTAGTAAGCTGAGGAACATACTTAGTATGCAAATATGTAATTCTATGACATTTGATCAATTTTTATTTAAAATCCACTTAATAAGACCTCTAACGGTCCAATCAAAGATGTTTTCAAGTTGACTGTTTCTACGGATCACAGTGTGGTAATCTTTGAGCATAAAAAACCTTTCTTGAAGGTTATACACTATAAATATGCAACTTGGACTACTTAACATGCCAGACCTTACCCTGCAAATCATCGCCAAGCAGACCTTTGTAAACTCCAACAAAAAAGGTGTCACTGCATTCCTCAAGTCTGGTGACCTTACCAGGAAGGTTGCATTTGTCCAATAACTCATTTGCAATAGCTATGAATGCTGAAAAGATATTGATGATATCATACTTTATTACTCCTCTCAGTTACCATGCATACTGTGACTGGTCCGTTTCACAGACCATATTCTACTATACTCCTCACTAAAACGTGAAGCTGTTTGTGGCAGCCAATATGCCTCATGATTTATCAACCACGTACTCTTAATGTTGGTGGCAAATGAAATGTGTAAAAATTTACTACAGCTATGATTTAGAATTGACTTGTTTTACTTTTGAGATATGTCAGTCATTTGAAGCTGTTCGGCAAGACTTGAAATGGTTTTCCAAACCTGTCAGACATACAGCAGAGATACAAATGTATAAGAAATATCTTACTAACTTCGCATATTTCCCACTACACTGTGAGTTAAGGATCCTCATTTTTATTCCCCCTCGATTTATGACCCACACACTTTGCTTTGGGCCATAAATTAAAGAGGAAAAAACTTGGTCCCAGCCATACAGAACAGAGCTTGAACTCAGTTGGTAAGAGGTATGTATTCATTGATAAACTCATTAAAACGTGTGGCCATATTATACATTTATCTTTATTTATCACTATTTTACCCTATAAATTAAGGTTGAAAGGGTGAGGGGACACCACAGATTAGAGTTGCCATTCCTCAAAACAGAATAGCACTTAGCAAAAAAATTGAAGATGCTCTTGCCATTCTATTATAAACAGAAAAACCAAAGTCAAAACATTTTTTATATGGGCATAACCACTATTTAGGACGTCAGTTCATTGGGTTTGGTTGCCATTTTTTTTTTCTTTTTTGGATTACACCTTTGATCGGGAAAAGACACGAGGTCTATTTTAATATAAGACATTTTATTTAGCGATCTGTCTCCCCACAGTTTGCACATTGCATATTAACACCCTCAATAAAACCATGACAACCATGACCACTGGGAAAACGGGTCCAAAATCACTCGATTGCTTCTTGCCATCAGTAACATATCTTTGCCCTCCAATTTCTGTTCATTCTTGCAAAGGATGAACAGAATAGTGCCTTTTTTCGGTCATGTGATAAGAGAATCTAACTACAAGCTATAAATTGAAACGCAGGCAGTCAGGAGACACTGTGAGGAGGTACAGCTCACAGCTAAAGAGTCTGTGATGGTTATGGTTTTTTATAGCCGTGGGTCAGAAACATATTTTGCCTTCGCTTCGTTTTTCAGTAGAGCACAAAATAAACTAGAGGACTGGAAAGTACACCAACCTTCATCATCCACAGCCTCCAAGGATCCATCATCACAATCCATTCTCTGAATGCAACTTTCCTCAACTTTACTTTTCAAAACACCGAAGCCATCTTGTTTTGAACTGACTCCGCAATTGAGGTTCGCAACGTGATTGGTTCAATTTAAATTCCTTCCCAGTACTTCGTCGTCCCGTTTGGCGTGTTCGCGCGTGCATGCCGCGAAGCCTTTGTAGTACAAAAATGTGAGAACTGAAAAAAGACTGCACGCCATTCAGGTTCTTCCATCAAAATTTCTTAATTTGAAAACTGTAAAAATCTTTCCCCTCGCTGTTGCATCTTATTACGCACTTGCTCCACCAACTAGCCCTCTATACTACTTCAGCACTTTCTATGCACACTGTGGCTAATTCTTTCGCCGATCAAAGAGATCCAAGTATTGCCCAATCTGATTGTTCAAGAATGTGGTCACAGATTTCATTGAACACGTGTTCACCCTGTATAAAACGCGGAAAATATAATAACTTTAAGCATCAGTCTATTATATCTCACCGGACTGCCTTGACAACAAGAGCAACTAGAGCACTGCAATAATCAATCCAGCAGAACATCAGGGATTAAAAAAACACTCGATGAATTTTTTTCTATACTTGGCCCACTCAAAGCGATGGATGAATATTCAATGCAATCCAAATCACTGAGTTTCAAATTCATTGAAACTTTTTGGGGTCACTTGAGTTTAGCTTCAACTCAGGAAAAAGTTGCCCTGATTTTCACGCTTGTGGTTTGTGGTAATCAATATTATTTCATATTCTCTCGAATCGCAATGCCATTGTACATTATCCTGAATTCATAAAAGGTGTAATTGCTTTCCGAAGATTATTACTTTCACTTATCTCCCGATAACGCGGCCATGTGGAGAATAAGGGGTGAACGTAAGCGGAAAATCGCTGTGCTAACCAAAAACAAGACATCCATTACAGTGACTTTCTGCTAGCTCTCACCGCTTACCCGCGGCATGGCTGCGTTACCGGGAGATGAGTCAAAGTATATATTTCACTGTTATTGCAATGCTACCCCTGCAGTTCTTAGCATGGTTCCGAAACATCGTTGAGAAACAATAATAATTTATGAATTCATGATATACAGAAATGTACACTGATGGCATGACTGACTGATTGACTGACCGACCGACCGAACGATCGACCGACCAAACGACCGACCGACCGACCGACTGACTCACTGACGCACTGACTCACTGACTCACTGACTCACTGACCCTTCGTGTAACTAAGGATTGCCAACACATCATTCTTGTTTCCTTTCTCACTGCTACAATGACTCGTCCATAACATACCCGACGCGCCGACTAAGAGGTATTTTTTTTACAAAAAAATAACTCAAAAATCAGAAAATCAGAAAAATCTGGGTGTGATAGAAACAGCAAGTGTAACCGTTAAAGCACGTGATTACTATCGGTGGCCAAGTGAGAAACCAACAGCTTCCTGCCAGCTGTTGAGGGTCTCTTTGCTTTCGTAAAATGTCTCAAGTGGGATTTACCCAATCAGAGCAGAAATCTTGTTCCTCTATAGATAAAGAATCGAAAGCGAACCAAACACGTCTCCATGTTTTTCAATGATTCCCAGATTTATTTGCGGTAGAATTTTACGATTTGCGCTTGGAATCTTGATGACTAAATATTAAACTGTGACTACTTTGCTTCAAGTTACCCTATTAAGTTGGCTTAGGCGAGCGATGAAATCTTACGCTGTGTAAACTTGGGATCAACAACCTTCTTCCGCCTTGCCTGCGGCAAGGTAAGGTTGTGTTAACGTAGTGAATATACGAAAGACATGTATACGAACTGCGGTTAAAACATGCAATCAAAGAAATGATCTTCGTCGCTGTGAGCAATTTTTTAGCCGAAAAAACAAAAATCAAGGCTGCAAAGCTTCCGCCAAGGTCTCATGGCTCAGTTTTCTTGTTTCAAAGTTGTAGTTAATATAAGCATCACTTATTAAGAAGGCCCATACCCGATTGCAACGATTACAGCCGACTATCTTTTCATGATCATTCGTTCATCTTTATTTTCATGTTTGCGTTCTACTGGCTGACTGAAGACTAATTACGTCGAAAAAGCGCGCAAAAAACCTCCGAGACTGGCAAATCTTCCTATCCTTAGACCAAACGTACGGGTAAAATAAAAGATTCTTCATTTAAAAAATTGACCTTCAGTTGGGAAAATGTGGATTATGTGAATGGTACGTAAAATGCCCTACAAACCTCTCCCTCCCCTTGTTATTTCCCATCCTTTTCAAAGTATATATTTTTACTTAGTCCAAATTTAAATTTCCTCGCGGATGTCGTAGACGTTCGTTTTAGAACCTTAAAGGAACGATTTCAAACACGATAAACGCACAATAACATTTATTGGCACTCGACTGCTCGACTGCAGTGCTGAGAAAATAGAGTTGCAGCAGTAAACAACATTTTGGCATCCATTTGCCGGCTTTATATGCATGCGATAAAAATGAAAATAACAAGAAATTAATGATACGAACAAGTTTTTTCGGACATTTGTGTTGACGTCTACAAGATAAGCAATCCCACATGAGAGAGAAGAATTTTTCCCATATAGTTCTGTTTTTGATTATTCCTGCTGTTTCTTTCTTTTTCCATTAAAAATGTCACAGACATATGGTAAGCACCAGCTGAACTGTAGAAATGCGTTCAGATAAGACTGAAGTCGTTTAACTCGCCGACTTGCTTTTTGGTGCCGTCGTGTTGTACTTCAAAGATTTTCCCGTCAACAGTGGTATGAAGGCCAGATAATCCCGCTTCGAGTTGGTATTGCTGGCCATCTTCTTGTTGTTTGGCCTGATACTTCTTACGGTACCTCTTATTGCAGGCAAACCAGATATGAAAATAGCACAGCATGCATAGGAAAAGGACAATCAAAACCAACGTGATGAACATGAAGGGCAACGAAACGTTGCTCGGGAGTATCATTGTTGCTCAAATAGCTTTTTTTCGTTCAAATGGCTTCTCAGTGCTGCTTTTTTCCTCGGGAAGCGAAGAAAGCAGGACGTTCGACACAGCAAAATTAAACTTCCCCTAAATGCAATATGAAATCAATTCTTATGAATTCTGCATACAGCTGTTTCTGTAAGTTCGCTGGAAACGTGAACAAAAACTTGAAGCGTTGAAGCTCACAAAGACAAGGATGTCCAAGAACAAGCGTAAATGAACAAAGGGAAATTGCATTCAGTGAAAAATGGAAACAACCGACAAAATTGACAAAATTGTATCTGCTGAGATCTTTTAAGGTTTAATTTGTCTAAAAACACGGAGCAAAAATATAC